TAACGTGACATGCATGTCTTTCGTAGATATTATATGATGCAACGATAACATTGTTCCACTTGAAAGATACAAACCTAGCATTAAGCTCCTGCTTTAACCAATAATGCATGCATAAAGAAGAGAAATAAAATTGGCTTTATAGATTTTTTTGACTTTGAATTTTAGGGAGAGAACAATTTTATAGAAGAGATTAATTATGTTTAGAGGGTGTTCTCAACGGATACATTTGTAATCTTAATGTGTCCATTTGTTGTTAGGTTCATGGTTGGATTGTTTAGATTGTTGTTTCCCTAGATATCCATCATCATAATTCCGTTTCTAAATTTTGAATGATTTCTTCCCTCGATGCTAAGAGCTGAGAACTCGTAGTTGTTGCAATAGCTACTCTTAAGAATAGAATCCACATGATGGTCTAATGAAGCTTAAAGTAGTTTGCATCTTGTGCAGCTTAAGTAGTTCAGGCTCAAGAAATTTGAGCATTGTGTGTTCATTTTATTATCCATATAAAACCACCCATTAATATCCTTTCGATCATGCTGTGTGTTTTGAACACGACACAAATATTGGCTTTGTCATTTAATTATAATATTGGTTGAATGCAATGCCATGATTGTTACTGGTTCTGTATCATGAGCATCAATTACAGCAAGGACACCTTATTTTTCCACGGCGAAGATTTGGGCTGTTAAATCCCACTCATTTAATTGAAGCACAATGGTGAAAGTAATTTTGCTTTTGTAGTGGCTGGTGTACCAACTCAAATAATTTCAGAAGACAAGAATTTTAGGTTTCTGCTAATTGTAAATTTCTACAGCTGTCTGAAGTGCCACTTCATCAATTTTGGATTTTCTGGTAGTATACTAGAGTTCTATCCCAAGAAACTGGGTAGTTATTTAATTTTTTTATTAGTAGAAATTTGATGTTGTTTTTCTCTGGGTTTATACATCCTGTTACATATGCCAATTATTGTTTAACCTTTGATAGCTACGTTTTCTTGTTGGAAAATATGTTTTAGCTTTTGTTGCTAAACATTCAAATATTGTGCACCATGTTTTCCCATCATACTTTGTGATTCGTCTATAATCCATTATGAAGCTTTGAGGCTTCGTGGATCATATCTTATTATAAGCATATCATTTCATCACTAGAATTGTGTTTGCCTACTCATGGTAGTTCCATAGGTTAGAAAGATTGCATATGGAACTATGGTTGTAACAGAGTGATACATCAACATTCTCCTGATCAAAGTATTCCCTAATTTCCTACTCTAAAAAACATAGATACCTGATTCTGCAAGCATCATGTTACAACAGGATGTCAACATTGTTTATTTGCAAGCAAACTCATATATCCATCTTAATTTGCACTAGAACATGTAGACTGGTATGAACACCAGTTGTTTTGTCAGTTCATGTCAGTTTTAACTTATACACAGTTGCATTATTCATTATAATTCTCTTGCTGTGTATCGTGTATCATGTATACACTCCTATAGTATCTGCTCCATGATCCACATCTTGTACTATCTGCCTATCTTGGTTGAGATTAGTCAGAATCCATTAGAAATGGCTGGAATTGCCCAAGATCTGCCAGAATTAGCCAAGTTATTCTCTGAATCAGTTCTGTTTTGGACAAGATTGGCATGTGGTTGACTCAGATTGGTATGTGGATCAGCTGAACTCAACCTGCATAGTCTGACAGATCAAGGGTGATCCTTGAGCTGGAATCACCTTGCCGCAAAGTATTGCGAACTTGGATCACCTCGTATCACCCATTTTCTGACTGGTTCTTTATTTAGTTGTACAATTATTTATTCTAATTCATTTCAGCCACCAACTTAGCATTTGTTTTTGTCTCCAGCTTTTTTGCTCTTTTTCTTGCAAGCAACTGTGACTTCTATTGGTCATTCTGATATTCTTTTGCTGTTCTTTTAGAGCATCTATCTGAGTTTTTTTTTTTTAAATAATGGATCTTCCTCATATCCCTTCATAGATACAGGATGTCTCTTTATGTGTGGAGATGGCTCATTTGGACAGCTTGGCAATGGGGACAATCAGTCACATGGCTCTCCCTTTAAAGTCCTATTTTTTGTTTCACAACATGTTAAGCAAGCAGCATGTGGAATGCGTCATTCTCTCGCGTTGGTAACAGGTAAAAACATTCATGAGTTTTAGCTCTGTATTAAAATTTATAGCTCAACATGCCAATTCAGTTGGCCTTTTACAAGTCACATTTGCAAAGTTGAAGAAGAAAAGCATTGGTGTTAAAATAAGAGACCATTCATGTTATTATGAACTCCTTAGTTTAAGAATTATATTTCAGAGAAATTTGATACTGTGACATCCTATTGATCTCTTTTATGCTCTTCCCACAATCATCAAATAGAAGCTTGGAAATTTCTAATAACTTTTAGTGCCTTTTGCCATGTTTGTCATGTGCTTGATTATGTAAGTACGAAGTCATATTCCTATCCTAACGTTCACCGCCTTGGAAATACTCATGTCTACACACTAGTGTAATCGTATCATATTAAGGAAATCTCTGTTGTGTACTCTAGCTGCAGCTGCTGATAAATTCCATGTTTTTCTTGATAAGCAAATCTTAGACCTAAGCTTCATTCTTCCAAATAGTAGGACAAAATTGTTTTGAATATGTTCAGAATTTTGCTGCCAATATGAGTTTCTCATCATCATGGATGTATCTTCTATTAATCAGTAATTTTAATACATCATACTATTTAAGCAGGATCTTCAGGTGATATGATTTATGGTTTTGGCTCTGGGAGACATGGACAAATTGGTAAGCATCTATCTGGAGGCCAAAGATTACTTAATCTTCCTGCGGCTGTTCAAGGATTTGATGACCGTAAAATAGTCAGCATCCATGCCAATGGCGATCATAGTGCTGCATTATCAGGTATGTCCGTATTAATTAAATGTAATAGTGCTTATGTTTTTCCTCTTGACTTTTTGAGTTATTAAACATGCAATTGCTTATTTTGCATCAGCTAGTGGACAGTTATACTTATGGGGTAGACGATTCAGTGGAAATGTTGATAATCATATCCCCCAAATTGCACCGCTGTCTCTACGGATTTCACAAGTTGCTCTTGGATGGAATCATGCCTTAGTAATGGCTGGTACTTCTTTTTAAGAGTAGTGTTAGATTATATATATAGCATGTTATGATTAGTTTACCGACTGCCTCACAGATGGATTCGTTTATATGCTTGGTGGGAGCCGCCATGGTCTACTCGCAGAGACTCAAAAAGTGAACTTGGTGGAGCATGGATTACCTACGCTTGCTTCATGTACCACCTCAAATGGTATCTTTTGTTCTTTTTTATATAAGAATTTATTGACCAATAAAAAGGAATCATTCCATGTATTTACGGATGAAATTATCTCAATCTGTATAAAAATCTAGCTGGCGATGTTTGACTTTAACTGTCTCTTGAGATACCGAACTCTTGCAAGACTAATTATTTCTCATATCTTTTGTTGTTCGCTATTACTTTTTTTTTATGTACTGTAAGATTTGGTTCTCTTATACTCTTCAGGCACTGATCCCTGAACTCTAAATTTAAAGTCTTGACAACAACAGATTTGCATGCACAAGGCTGAGTTGCTATTCAAATTTGGTATATTTTGTAGCCATCTGATGTGATTCCCCATTAAAATGACCAATTGTTTTTGGTATACAAATACTGAATGACTCAAAAGTAGGTGAATTACTGATCTGGTGAGAAAAGCCTTTACTGTCAGTCAAGATAAAGCTCTTATAAATTGGCATTCTTTGTCAGTACAGTTATTCACGGCTTAAGTGACTCTGTTGAATATCATGGAATTTTAAATATTCTTTGCTTTAGTCAACTTGATTTGTTGCTGGCAAGTGAGTCGTCTTATGTATGACTCCTAGGTTCTCCTCTCACTCTGGAGAGAGTTCCCTGCCTTGATGAGAAGGTGGTGAGCATTGCAGCAGGTGCTGAACATTCTGCTCTTGTAACAGGTGATGAGACAAACAACACATGGTTGCCTCTCTCTTTTTTCTGTCTGATGCAATTAAAGTTATTTACTATGGCATATTTATCAGAGAAAGGATCGGTAATGACATGGGGCTGGGGGGAGCATGGCCAGCTTGGCCTGGGGGACACATCTGATCAAACACGCCCACAGGAGGTAAAGTTGGACTGCAATGGATCATTTCTTTGGACTCAATTTGCGGTATATTGTGGCAGTGGATTTACAATTGTCGCAAAAGCAACAGAGTAACATTGTTTATGCAAGTCCAGTTGGAGAGTAATATCGTTTATGTAAGTCCTGTTGGAGATGATGTAAATTGAGCAGCAAATTATGCTAGGGATTAAAATTTTGATTCATTTTGAAGAGGGGACTGATTCAGATATTTGTATTCTACTTATGATGTATCATCAAGTAATTAATATATGTATTCTTTTTGGGGAAAATAAAGTTGGAGAAGATGAATTCTATTTCTCTGCCACAATTCTGTATGATTTCTTGTTGTAACTTTTCAGACTCGAAAGTTGGAGCCTTCTGCTTCTAATGTAATGTCGTTATAAAGAGTTAGGAAACCATAATTTTCTTCACATGGCTGAAGGCATGGTGGTCCGGTCACCGCCTCGTGCTCCGAGGCTATCTTAAAATATTTCCTTGTTCTGTGTCACATCATGCAGCACTGTAGTACTTATGGGTACCGCAGGTGAGCATATGCTACACGGGATTAAAAGGGTATATTTTAATAATTAACTGTCGTTGACATGCAAAAAAAAATGTCTAGGGGGAGTGTAAGAGGACGTTGACCTTTGCGGAGAAACCATCGAGAAGCTAGATTTCATCTAGAGTCGATCTTAATATTATCTTTAATAGGTCGAGGTTACGCGAAGACCACCACCTCAGCCATTCGGATACATATGTCGTATAATCACCGGTTAGAACATGCAAGCAAGACTCAAAATAAAGCAACAAAATTTGTTTATACATATTCTTATATACCTCACCTCATCCCTGCATAAAGAAAACAAAATATTCATCACTTTAGTACAAGAAAAGAAACCATGGCAGGATTATTACATGCCGCTACATAGGGACTGCCAGAGTAACATTGTGCTTCTTCTCAGCTTGAAGCACTTCAAATGCTTCATTATTTCCTACATCTGAGTTCTTTCTGATAGTACAAATATATCTGATGCTTCATAAGTGACGATGGTTACCTGATAATTTTGTTCAGAGGAAATTTCATTTTAGGATCATTCTGACTTGTGGTCATAACAATGATGCAGCTCACTGTATCTCCAAGCACTCATGCTAATCTTCATGGCCCAACTTCCTGAACTTTGGAGGAAGAGAATCGTCCAAGTTCGCGTTTCGCTTGATACTGAGGTTGCGCGTCAATCCAATTGTTGAAGAGACTGTGTTTCTTCTCTTAAATCTTCCCATGTTCCAAAATGAAAAAGGTTCTTCTGGTTCACTCAAGCATACAGAAGTTCTCTCAAGATGGTTTACTGTCGCATTCTGAGGCAAGATATGAGGGTCCTGTCAGCGAGAGATCAAAGGTCAATTTTAGAACAAAACGAAAAGGTCTAGGAGAAAACAAAAGAACTTCTATGGCTTTCTGGGAGCCAAGTCAACAACTTATAGCTGTTTGGGCAACTGAGTACTGACACCAGACAAGGGATTTCAAATCTATCAGCACTAGAATTCAGAAATATAAATAAGTGATAACCAATTTACTACAAAGTTCAACCTATTGTAACAAAAGAACAAACACAGGACAATTGCATAAATGACCATGAAGGATATGCCCATATTGCACACCATGTGACAGGTTACACATTTGGTGGTCCCATCTCATCCATGCTTCAAGGATAACCACATCTTAGGTATCAACATGGACCACTATGCATCAGTCACCATTAAGGGGTTGATAGGAACACTTGAAATTTCTAGCAGCCCAATCAACCTGCTAGGCATGTAAATTGTACAGACCAAACACTTTTTTGAAACTAATGGTCATGCCAAACTAAGGGCTAATCGACTAAACTACTATATAAAACCCAAGTAGTAAGGATAAAGATGTTGATCAACGAATTAACTTGAAAGGTGAACAAAGAGATTAAACAAGAGCAATAACCAACAAAACCTCAGGCTTACAATGCATTTGATAGACTCTTGACACAACATGGACAATGAGTTGGATGTCAACTAAAGCTAGGTACAAAATCTTACATGTAGTCTTCACCCTTTTGGAAGTTAAGATACTCCTGAAGGCGGGTGGTGCAAGGTCCTATATTGAGTCATGACAATACAAATGGACCATCTCCATATGCTTCTTCATATGGGCAAACTTATTGTTTGTCAGACAGACAATAAAAAAATGGGGTACTCCTAGTATGCTGAGGGGAGTAGTAGGACTATTCAATACAAAAAGAAAGATTCAGAACTACCTGCAATTCCCATAAGAGAATCCAAAGGATTTTACATGGATTATTAGTCCAAATAAAAAAAAAGAAAGAAATCATGAAAATATATGACTCGGGTTCCTACTAAATCATGAAGTTCGAGCAATGTTGGCTTGCCTAGTCCAAATAAATCTCCACATGCTAATAGGAACTTAAGGTAAGGGATGTTGATGAAATCTGGTTGTTGGGCAGGAAAGGTCTTCATCAGCTAGTCTTTATATGGGTGAATTTGATACACAGACTTAGAATATTTCCTTTTCTTTTGAGATTTATGGGCACCAAAGTATATTCCTAATATTGGCAAATTTCAATCAGGACCGGGAAGGTCTACATGACTTTTCCATCGGAATTTATGCCAATCTAAGTTTTCTAAGATTAAAAAAGGCTTAATTACCTAAATAGTCCTTCAGCATTTGGTGCTAGTACAAGTTGATCCTCAAACTATTTTGCGTCAAACTGGTCCTTGAACAAAGTTCAGTACCAATCAAATCCTTCTATCATCTATCACCATTGACAAATAACAAATTAGTGATGTTAGTCATAGTCAACCTTTTTTTCTTCTGCTTTTTTTTTTTGGGTGCTAAGTGGGCTTTAACAATTGACATGGCATACAAATCAATTCCATAGTAAAAGAAGAAAAATTAAAATTTGACGTTTTGAGATCAAGTTTGGGAGGTTTCAAGAATAGGTTTGAGCCAGTGAGTATTTTGTCTTGTGAATACCAAGCCGATGACATGAGAAATGTTAAAAGTCGAATCCACAAAAAGGTTATCACAACTCATCCATCCATTATTGCTACCAAAAGGAAGATGACAGAAAATTTCGACTGATATAGGACCAATAATGGAGAACCAATTTGATGCAAAAGATAGGCTGAGGACCAACTCAAAAGAGCACTGATGCTTGAGGACTATCCAGGAAATTTAACCTTGAAAAAAGGTCTTTTCAGTGATATTCCATGCATTTGAAGCTTGAAACCCAATTAGTTGATCAAGGGCAAGAAGAAACTTACACAAAATGTTCTAATTGGGCCAGCACCATCAGCACCATCATTGTAAGCAGCACCTGTAATAGAAACAGATTAAGACTACTCCAGGCATGCAGATTTATCTTTCCGAACAACAGAAGCAAGTTCCAGAGAGGGCTCACCTCTGCTTCTTGCTGCATGCTGAACAGAGGTACAACTCGCACTCCATTGATCGGTAGAGAAGTGTCGCTTTTCATACGGTCTCCAAGATGGAAGATCATCAGCCACTTGCTGTGGTGGGAAGTAAGACATGGGCAGTGACGATCTCAATTGACTCCGATGCTCCAAAATTTTGGAGTTTCCGTCGTCCGTTGGATGGCCAACGATTGCCTTGTTCCTAGCAATCGTGTAGTCCGAGTTCAAGGATGGCCGAAACTGGAAGAATGGGGACAATTTCACCTGGTCGTGGACATCAGGCGCCCTCCTCGGAGGAAAGCACACATTCACCTGATCTAATTGTTCCTCGCCATGTACAGATTCAATCCGACTTCCGAGACGAGATCCGAGCATTCCCTTTTCTCCATTCGAAGCTTCCCCGAGGTGAGCCATCCTGCGGAAGAGAGGAAAATAACCGCGGTGGTGGTACTTCCCGCTTCCAAGAACCCTTTCCCCGCCACTGCTGTCGCGGCCGAGGCTCTCCTGTGCTCCTCGACGAAGGGCGGCGTTCCTTGACCTGAGCTGGAAGGGGCCGAACCCACTGACCGATCGCTCTCCTTCGTCGCCATACACGATCCGCGGCGGCGGTAGCGGCGACCGAAGCCGGGGGACGCCCGCGATGGGCCTCCTCTCGAACAGGTTGAGGTAACGGCGGTCGACGAAAGGCGAGTTGAGATTGGAAATGGAAGTCCGGGTGCGGGACTCGTCGGTGGAGATCGTATGCGGGTAGTTGTCGTCGTTGCGGCGGCTGAGGACGACGCCACCTTCACCGGCATCCGCCGGGAGTTTCCGGCGTGCAGGCGGCGTCGGAGGAGGCGGCGCGGCGGTAGGCGGGAGGGACAGGAGCCTCATGTGCAAGCGGCTGATCCAGGAGGAGCAGAGGCCCCGGCTCCGCTCGCCGTGGTGGTAGAAGAAGCCGCCCTCGCCCTCGCCTCCGCCTCCGCCTCCATCTCTACCACCGATGTGGGCATTGGTGCTCTTGCTGCCCACGGAGCTCTTCAGAGAAGACGGCACTGGATTCAGAGACATATAAACAAACAGAAGGAGCGAAGTAGAGAAACACGGAGAAGAAGAAGAAGTAATCCCCCATTTTATGTCGGTCGTTCATATCAGTCTGCTGTCTGCTGCTTTATTTTCTTCCCGATGGAGACGTTATATTTCGGAAAATGACGGCCGCTCTATCAAAACGCTATAAACTATCAGAGCGGTAAATAAACAAAAACATAAAAAAAACACTGCTACGACTCGGACTGGTGGTTATATAGAACGGGCGTTATATGAGCTGATGGTATCGGTTTCTGGGACACGTGGAGAGAGGACAGACAAGATTCGGAGCTGATCCGTGATGGAGAAGGGGACATAAAAGATGGCCGCCCCACTAAGCCACAGATTGGACTCCTGTGCGCGGAATCTGCCTTTTATTTGGCACTACCAGCAGTAACAGTAGCTGTAGGAACAGTAATTATTTGTGTTTTAATAGGATCCATATATGAAGTATATTGTTGTCTTAAACTGATCTAAGAATCAATCATAGTCCAAGAGTTAAACCAAGTAAAGTGAAAGGGAAGAACACAGTAGAAAAAGAAGATAGATAGATATACAGGTAGATAGATGGATGGATAAATACAGAGATAGATATATTGATAATCAAATTGGTAGATAGATAGATAAGATAGATTGAAAGTTTAGATAATCAGATAGATGGATAAGTTTAGATAAATAAATCGACAGATCGATAGATAGAACAATGATAGAAATCAGCATATGTTCAGCAATGAAGAGAGAGTGAGAGGGAGAGAGAATGCATACCTTTGTTTTGCCTGATATGAATATGAAATCATTGCACCATACTCTGCGGTAAAAAGATAATAATACGTTGAATATTTCAACTAAATTTCCCACTACTTTCAGAAAATGAGAGAAGACAACTAATACATATATAGAGAAAGAAAGAGAAAGAGAGAGAGGTTTGAAGACAACCTTATTCTTTACAGTCGATTAATATGAGCAGCAGCAGCAGACTTTCTCCTCTGTTCATGCTTGGTTAAGTGATTGCCTTCTTTTACAACCTCTTTAACATCAGAATAAAATCATGAATCTAATTCTTATTATTTCTTCATGCTCATTGCATGAATGCAGCAATCATTGTTATGTCTTCATGCTCGATACAGAGATGACAAATTCGTTAACCTAATGTTTACAGAAATGGAGCATGGAATACATGGATATGATATATCTTTGGTGGCTAAATTTGACAGGATGTTCCATGTAAAATCTAAGCAACTTTGAACTAGCAAGTAATCAGATCATTTTTTTCTTATTAATCAAACTTTACGATACCTTTTCACTCAAAATGTCAACAAAATTGCAGGGAAAAAGAAATATGATTCCCACAAGGATTAGTTCTTCTGTGTGTTATGGTAGTAAGTGAAGCAAAAAAAACTACGTACTACCCTAGCAAAAGAATCGCTTTATTCATCACAAACCTCAACTCCATGCTAATATGTGCTGCGGAAATCCAACATCGCCGGGTATTATTAGCAGAGATTATATGAGACATGGGTGGCGAAGAAGATTACAGTGAAGCAATTGGAAGCCCCGGAGGTGGCCCTCAGTTGACGGCGCTGGTGAGAGTGAAGCAAGCGGCGGCGCTCTTGAGTTCGTTCCGTGAGACGTGAGCCATCGCCGAGTGCATCGTGTCCTTGAGCGGAGACTCGGAGCTGGTCGAGAGGATCGAGCAAGCAGTTTCCATCAGAATTGTGATTGAGATCGTAGGAAGTCGAACGAGACAGTGAGCGCAAGTGTTGGACCTTGATTCGTAGGCTCCGTCTTCGTCTATGGCGTCCAAGGAGGGTGAGATCTCATCGTCCATCGGGGCATGCAGGGCGGAAGAATGGTGAGCCCAGAAACGTTCCGCCGCCTTCATGTTGATGTCGTTGTTGTCGGCGATGCTGCAGCTCTCGACGATGGAGATGCCGTTGTCGAGGAGAAGGTAGCTGGCGGCGCCATCGATCATGGTAGAAGAGGAGGAGGAGGAGGAGGCGGCGAGCTGGTGGTGGCGGTGGAGCAGGAGCTGACTGTTGGTGGCCTCGAGCTCCTGCTCCAAGTGGTGGATATGCAGGTGCAGGGAGCGGATGAGGCCGAGGCAGCCATGAACGGGGTCGCGGTCGCGGATGTTGGCCTCGTAGATGATGGACTTCATGGCCTCGGCCTGCTCCGGCGGGTCGAGGCGGTTAATGATCTTGAGGATGTTGCTGACGCCGAACAGGCGGTGGCAGTTCAGGAACTGCTTCGGCTGGTCGGCCGGGAAGTAGGCGGCGAGGGGGCAATCCGCCGCACATCTCCGCCGCTGGTACTTGCATGCCGCGCATGATTGGTTCGTCCCCCCCTTCACCGTCATCTCCTCCGTCTCCTTCTTCCGCCGCCGCCACCGCAAGTGGTGCTGTTGCTACTTGAACGAGGCAATCACGTCGAGGTGGTGGAGGATGGAGAGGAGGCGAGCGTTAGAAGATACCGAGTCGGATAGAGAGAGAGGATGGGTAGTTGCGGATTTGGCGGCGGGATGGGCGCACGTGTAAAAGGTCGGAGCGGGTGACAGACTCGAAGGTGGACGAAGTCGCACGGAATCACTGCCTTATTGTTTTTTTTTTTTCGCTTTTTCTACTTTTTAAGATTTTTCAAAAAATTATAGTTGTTACAATACTTTTAAGTAAGACAGTCTTTTTTGTCTAACTTAACATTACGATAATAATCATGACTTTTAAGGATGCATCATATCGATCGATCCATATGACGTAGATTGGACTTGGCTGAACGGATACAAAATCTGAAAATAAGAGTTTCTCTCGAGAAAAATTCAAAAAGAAAATAATTTTTTCGAAAAATCATCGAAAGACTGTTTAGTTTGTTTTTTTTTCTTTTCCTTCTTCTATTTATCTTGAAGGAATATTTTAATGCATTTTACCATGAGTATATTAACAGGAGAAGTATGATTGTATTGGTTGGATAAGTGATCATATTATACAAATGAGATAATGTTTGATAATTGCTTTTAGGTAAAACCAATCTTTTAGGATATTTTTAGTTGCACAAAAAACACTTGTGATAAATTAATTTCCTTGTGTTTGGATGATCTCCAATTATATATACAGTTTTTTTTTTTGGATAAAAACTACCACCAATTATTAGTTCAATAGTAGATGTGCAATTTGTTTCATATATGAGGATGGAGCAGTTCAAATTGAAGGTTCAATTGGGGAGAATGATAGTCTCATGAATGAAACATTCTGATGTGGGAATTGAAGTGTTCCAAGTGAAGTGGCAATTTAAAGAGACTACAATAGCTTATTGATGTGCAATCCCACAATTTCTTATGGACAATTTGCAGACTTAGTTTCTTTTTATATATCTCAAACAATGTATATTTATTTGGTCAAACAATTATCCATTCAAAAGGATACAGAAGTAGTTCATCTTCCAGCATTCCTCCTGATTTCTCCTCATCCTATTTTGGATTTGATTCACTGTATTTTGCATCACAAATAATAGTTTCAGTTGTAGATATGGTATATAGCTGGTAAAAATGCTCATACATGTGATATGGATATAAAATAAAATAATTTCACATGTGAAATTTCTCCTAGGCATCTACATACTAATATTTTATTTTATTAGGCATATATATATATATATATATATATATATATCCTTTTCACACACAGCTTTATACATCTTTTAGCATGCCGTGTGGTTGCTGTTGAGTTCATTGGCAGGCAAATTCCCAGTGCCTTTCTGGAGAGGGTGAAGGAGCTTTCAACAAAAGATCCAGCCATAGCCTCAGCCATGAGTTTGGGTGGTTCAATGAATCCTTTTGATTCATCTTCGTAAACAACATTGACAATGAAGCTTTTACCAACACATACTCTGTTGACCACCCAGAAGAGATCTGCAGGCTTGTCAAGGTGAAAACTCAGATTTCTGGGGAAGATGCTTAAAACTGCTAAGGTTTTGATCTCTGGGTTTATATTTCAGTTGATCTTAGCACTATATGATTTTACCCAAACAACAACAACAACATGATTGATTAGGCTCTCAACCTGAAGGTTTCCAGCCATAAACTGTTTGCTAGTGCAAGATTTACTTTGAAGCTTGAAGCAGAATCCACAAATTATGAGCAACTTGAAGCTCATCAGAAATTTGGCAAATTTCTGTCAACCATTAAATTCAAAAGAATCCACATTTCAACTTCTACCTTAAAAGTGTTACAATAATGATTAGAACTATAATAATCTCTAAAAACTGATGAAGTCACACTGCTAAATAAAATGCACATACCAAATGCTTCGATGATAACCAAAATCTTTTAACTAATGAATTATCTTGAAGTTGAAGGTCATGTCGCGAGTCAGCTGCTAGTCAACAAAAGGAAATTAACTTGTAAATATGAAAAGATTATGTTAAATTCACATGAGCAAATTAAAACAAAAGGTCGCAAGTTCAACCGTGCACTTGATAGCTATATCCCGTTGTTCAATATAGACAATAAGCACAGAAACAAGGTGTGGTTCCGTGCCATGACATTTTGTCCCGTCTCACTGAGATGAAATTACAAAATCTGAGACTCAAAGAAGTCAGCAGATTCTGATCCTTGACGATTTTTAGGCTGCTTCAACCTCCAAAAAAGAAGTCGTAAAGTAACAGGATCTACGTTCTTTGAGCTTTACATGCGTGTAGAAGCAGCAGGGTAGCACTACCATCGTCACTTGTCTTTCTCTGCCAATGTTAACAAAAACGAAGAAGTAATGAACAAATTTGTAAGCACTAACAAGCCAGCCAGTCGAGTTACCGAATGCGGCTGAAATAACTGCTAAGACTTTGCCTCGTAATGTCATGTTGCCGTCATCTCATGTTACAGCACTGAGGCTTCCCGGCCTGCAACTTGTCCCACAAGCATGTCATTTGCCTTGGGGACTGGTAGTGTGCAGTGTAGTAATCGTCTATGCATCCAAACTGACAGAACTTGACACTGTGTTTGTATTCAACTGCTCGAGTGCTATTGAACTGCTCAACCCACATGCCCATGCTCACATCTTCCATTTTAAACAACTGCATAATTTAGAAAACTCATCATCATAATGTGTAACCATTAATCAAAATCTTCATTGGATATGCAGGGGTTAACAAAAGATGTTAATCACAATATAATTTGTTTGTATATTGTTTCATTTCTCTTCATAAATGAAGAAAAAGCACAAACCTTAGCAACCAAAAACAAAAACAGAAGATAAAATCATTATGTTAAGGTAACTAGTAAGCTGAGTTTTAAACTTCGTGCTGTTCAGTACAGTTTAGCCGGGTGTCTCCTCCAGATGGTACGCTAGAATGGATCGGACCTTTGCCAGACTTGGAAGGTCACCCTCCACTTATATTCTTGCAAACAGGCACAATTAGTTGCAACTAGTTCCCAGTTTATCGTGCCCCAATAATGTTACTACTTGTATTGCTAAGCTAAATATAAAAGTAGCTACTCAATAGAAGAATTAAATATGCTTACCCGTAACTTATGTTTCTCGAAATCAGATATGATGAACTGTGCAATATCAGATGATACAACATATCCAGGACCATTTGCATATGGTGGATAATTCTCTTCAGGCCATTCCTGCAAAAGGAGATCCATAACAACTGAGCACGTTAAATGCGTTACTTTGTTGTATGAGATGATAGTAATCATATTTTTCAAGCAAAACTAACAGTTAGTCTACGTAATAGAAAAATAACTTTAATCTAATGTATAGCATACTGGATGTCCAACCAGATTAATTACGTATTGGGCAGTAAAAGATGATGAGACTACAAAAGGGTACATGGTTAAATGGGAAAAGATGCATACTAGAGCAATATATATATATATATATATATATATATATATATATATATATATATATATATATATATATATATATATATATCAATGGGTAATATTGTATTATCATGAACCATGAGTAAAATTTAAGATGGCACAACTGTAAAATGCGAGTTATAAGGAGGAAACATCAAACGAAAGATATGACCTCATTTTCTTGTTAATGATATATGTGGATACATAGGAATATGCAGCTGCATTCTCATGCTTATGCAGAGGACCATATAAGTCACGGCATTGGTGTATGTGAATCTAGCATATGCAGTATTTTTGTGCTTATGTGGAACTTATAAGTGGACATGTTTGGCGCACATGCAACTCCACATTTATCATATGCAGTAACACCATACATTGTGGTCATAGTCCTTACACAGTGAACCAAATATCTACATATGCATACACAGCAACAAAAACTCTTTGGAACCCTGACTACGAGCACATGATCAGACACAAAAATCTGAAAACATTTATCACACCGAGTCTTTGAAAAAGCATGAACGCATCAGTGGTGTTGAAAAAGTTTACATCTCCCACTGAGCGTTGATTAACAGCTATTGTTCAAACTAAATGGCATTAATAAATAATATCATATACTTTCAGTTCAAATGAAAAAACAATAAACAACAAAGTTTTTCCCTGCCAGCCAATTAAGAAATACAACTATCATCTAAGAAGCATACCAAAGATACAACTCAACATTTGAACTAAGTTTAGATTATGAACTTGATCCACTATATATGCATATTATCGACAACAAGACATATTGAGAAACCCAAGGATTGTAATTTCATACCGTACCGAAGTTTCGAGTGTAACTCAGTACAGTATGGTACAGAGTATTGAGCGGTACACCAGAGTGTACCGCTCGATGTGTGTGTGTGTGTGTATATATATATAAGTTATAAGAAAAAGGCAATGTTGCCTCCTTTTTCTGCCCGCGTGGGGAGAAGAAACCGAGGTTTCCTTCTCCCCGCGCAAAAAAGGGCGACGAGGTGACCTCGTCGCCTCATCGTCTTGACGACGCTTCGTTTCTTCTCCCCGCGACGTCGCCGAGGCTTCTTCTTCCCGCACGGATGATAAGTCGCCGATGACGCCAAAGCCTCGTCGCCTTAGACGAGGAGGATACGACATCTCATCTGCGACGTCCGATGAGAGAGGACGGCGACGGATCGAGGGAGAGCAATGCCAAATCTCCAGGTTCTCCCTTTTCTTCTCCCTCAGCTAATACCACCAAGTAGCGAGTAGCGACGGTACTGCTCAGTAGCGAGCGGTCCACATATCGGTCTGCTGGCAGACCAGTACGTATCTCCCGGTATGAGCGATATTATTCGAAATTAAAATCCTTAGAGAAACCTATATTCAAGGATACATACGCATCAACTGTGGAGGAGATACTTTTTTATTTAACCCCATTGCCAGAGAATGTAAAAGGAGACTCATGGATACGACTACTTGTCAAACATGACCCTAGGAAGTTACAGGTGCTCCAGGATAAAAAAAAATCACTTGAAAACTTTCAGGAATCAGAAGAGTCACATCGTTACATTCATCGACCAGCACTGGACAAAATTGAGGCTATCCTTGAGATCAGTGGTGTTGATTATGCCATATACAGCTTGCATGAGAAGATCTGAATGCTGTTTTTGTGTTTTCTCACTTTGTTTGAAATAATAATTAATTGCTTTCCTAGGGTTACATCCATTTTGTGTTTCTTGTTTCATGATACCAAATATTTCTGATTTCAAAATAGTCATAACTTATTGTGAGAAAGTCAGCCAAACATCTTTTCTTTTCCTTACATAATTAGATGAAGGAGACTTAGCCTTGCAAAAGAATTTCTTAGACACTTCAAGAAGTCCATAGTTCAACCAAAAACAAATAGACAAACTTTAATCTACCCAAGTTTCCTCTAATCATTGCAAAGATTCTTATACCTCTCACCAACCAAGCATTGCAGATACGTTTCAGGAAACAGGATCTAATCAGTATAATTTCTACTAGTGCAAAAAATGTAAATCCTAGAATGATAAGACAGAACAAAAGTACAATATTAAAATATTGCATACAGAGTTAGAAGGGATATTATAATGCTCTGAAATTTTGTTACTTGTGTAAAACCTTATATATGATATGGCGATTGCTTAGACTGCAATTGTGCTTAGATATGAGAAAAACTTGCATTTATGTACCTCATATGTCACAGCCCATTTCCCTTCTCGCAATGGCTTGTGGTAGTAATTCATGTTACCCACATATAAGCTTTTGTCACTAGGGACTTTTCTGACTTTATTCATCACTGAATCAACTCTAACAAAGGTATCATCATCACATTTCATTATATAGCGAGCAGCAACAGTACGAACCTATTAAAGCAAGAAAAGGAAACAAAAGAAAACCACAAGATTATAAATAATTGATAATTAAGACCAAAAATAGAAGAGCAAGCAATTCAAGGCAAAACAGATCATAGTCAATACAAACCCCATATTCACATATGGCAACAGTCTTGAGAACAACAAGATCATAGCTATCTAGGAAAGGCACTATAACAATATCACCAAAGAACTCTGCCTCTTTCTTCAACTCAATATTCACCTCCTTTCTTCCATGCTGTTCGAACAAAATACTCTATTAGTTAGCATCTCTCCAAAATAAAAGGATGGAAAATGTAGGTCAGAGTAGCTTGAAATTTTACCAGAGCAACAAAAAACCGAGCCACCATATTAGATGATTTTTTAACTTCACACATCCATGACTTCCGGACAGCCATACGCTCTGCAAAATGGTTGCCTGCAGAAAGGATGCCAATGAAAAGTTCAACCGGTCCATCAGGAAGTGGCAGGGCCTGCCATTCTGCTGACATTTCTAGATTCTTTTGTGGAGCAAAGCTAGGATGAGAAGTTGGCAATGAACCAGCAAAAATGGATTGGACATGAAGGTCCCCATTAACCGACAGGCCTGTCGCATCCTCAAGAACAAAACCCTACACAGGACATAAACCATTACATCAACAAAATGTTGAGTCCCAATCATATCAGCTGTGGGGCTTTTGCAACTGAAACTTACAGTGCGGTAAGGAAAAGAGGTCACATGTCTCCCATCAACAGTGACATGATAACCTTCTAATCCAGCACTTAGAGTGAGAACAAACAACTTGTCTTCTACGAATGGATATGGCCAATCAACAGAAATCTTCTTTGTCCTACCAATCAACCGGTTTAACCACCATGTTGCCTTTGACTCTTCCATCCCATTGTCATCATCACGGATCCACTTTTCACACTTCAGTAGCCCATCAACTGAAATATCAGTAAACAATGAGCTCATTAATCAACGATCATTAATGAACCAAAACAGAAAACACACCTATCTCTTTGTAAAACACACATAAGGTTCTCAGAATGCAAATCTCCACTCTCAAGGTAATTGTAGAAGAAATTTACAGCAACAAAAGAAAAAAGAAACCAAAATGTTTTTTTCATATAACAATGTTGCAATTCAAAATTTTAGCATGCTATTGCAAAAAGCAAACCCAATTTCAAAACTTGGAACTCGCAGCATTCGATAGCAAAATTATGAAAATTAGTTTTTTTCCTAAAGTGTCACGTGACTCATGACAGAGAATAGCTAAAGGTGGAAGCTTGAGAAACCCACCGGATTCCTCGTTAGCCATGGACGTCCAACCCTCGCAACGTTGGGACTTTCCCCACTGCATGCGGTAGCACGTGTTCTGCTCGATCACAGGCTTCCCACTCCAATCCCCCTTCAACCGGGGGTTGAAATGCAGTATCCTCGGCGGGTCCTCCCCGTCCACCGTCTTGATTCCCAGCAGCTCCATCATAAACTGAGAGACCATGATCTCCTTCTTCCCTTCGCTCAAGGCCGTGATCTTGGGGTCGTATTCTGGGTGGGCCTTGTACGGCTTCGCAACCAGGGTGATGTGCGACCCCAACGTCAGCCCACAGGGTAGCACCATCAACCTCCCCCGCTCAAGGAACTTCTCCCCAGAAAGGATGATCGAGTGCGGACAGTTATCCTCCGTCCGGTTCTCGTCCTTCGTCGTCGCTAGGTCCGCCAGAGGAACAGTTTTTAGCTCCTCCAGCATCTTCCGGCCCACCTCCCACGCGTCCTTCGCGGCCTTGTGAAGCCCTGAGAACGGCCGGCCGCCGACCGCGGTGACGTTGAGGACCCGGAAATCGAGCCCCGAAGCGGACATCATCCGTCGTGGGTCGGAGGGGAGGCGAGGGCCGGCGGGGCCGCTGGCGGAATTGTGGAGAAGGCGCGCGCGCCGGGAAGGGCGGAGGGGAGCGGGCCGGACCTCGGCGCCGAGATTGAGGGGGAGGCTAAAGGCATCGCCGCCGAGGAGCCCGGAAGCGGCGTAGGCGGAGGAAGGGGAGGGGATCCGGTAGGAGAGGAACGGGTACTCGAAGAAGAAGACGAGCGCGCCGTAGAGGAGGGCAAGGACGAGGAGAACCTGCAGAGGCCACTTCCGACCGAGCGAAACCACCGCCTCGAGGTTCGCCGATCTCCTCATCGTCGCCCCCCCACCCTCACCACCTCCGGCCCTCCCCCGGATCAGGAACAGAGGGCACGGAGAACCGCCAACTCCGCAACTTCTTCTCCGATCGGTCCGGGCAAGAACCGATGGAATAAGAGAAGCGAAGAAGACGACGACGACGACGACGACGGAGGAGGAGGAGGAGTTCGTGGGGGTGGTGGGAAGGGAAAGGCGAAAAGAAAGCCGTTTTCGAGGTCGGTGGCTCGGTCGACGGGGGTATTTATAGCAGTCTATTTTTATTCTTCCTGTTACCACAGTTTGGTATGTTTTAAATATTTTTCATCATTAACGAACACGTGTCCTTGCAGATTCTGAAATTTTGATTTTTCGAGAACAGCCGTCCGTTTTCTTTTGATTGTATCAGAAACGCCTATCTGTCGTATTCAATTGTCTAAACCACTCTCGTAACCATCAAAACCAATTATTTTCCTGCCGAAATCTGACTGGCCTTAATCTATTTCTAACATTAGAGTGAACTAATAATAGGATTTTCCATCGAGATTCGGTATTTAAAATATTGTAACTTTGGAAATATTATGATCATATTTTAATTAATTCAAATCGCCTTCAATCTTAGTTATTAATTTTATTATAGGTTTAGATTGTTCATAAGAATGATTTTCGATGAAGTGCATTATGATAATTATTCCATTTATAATATATGAAATTATAAAAGGCGCAAGAAAGTATTATTTTGCAAAAAAAAATAATATATGAAATTTTTTATTCATAGATATAACGTTACTTTTATGTTATATGCATTATATAAGAACGATAAAGATTATCGTATAACATGATTTGAAATGAATATATTAGTCGACTTAGCCAGTAAAAATCTTGATTATTGATACTGAATTTAGTTTTCACAAAAATTAAAAAAAGAAGCATGATTAATATTAAATTTTTAAGTGACTTTGAATATTAAGATTTATTAGTTTATGTTAATTATGTTATAGCCCATACAATATCCATTATAACAATTTGGAAACTATAATAGTTTCATAATAAAATGTTATGTAAACTTGATTCTCTAAGCATCTTGGTGGAATAGAATTTAGTACTTTCTATTTTTCAATTCCAACTTGAACTTTTCTTATAAAACTTCTGCTTCTCAATTTGGATTTCTTTGATCTGATCCACAGTTTTTATTTTTGTCATCCATCCAAGTTCAATTGAAACAATTTGTCTTTTTGTAGTGGAGGATCCACTCAAGATCTTACCCATTTCTAAGTCTTTAATTTCCTTGAATTATAAAACAATTATTGTTGTTACCTTTCCCTTCAAGAAGAATAATGGCATGCTGATCTTAGAGGTTGATGACAACATGCTAAAGTGGATTTATTTCACTGGTTGAGTTGTTCTTGACATATGATTTATGGTTGAGACTAATTAAGATGAGCTTCCAATCCCTTCTCACCTACCCAACCAGCTTTGTTCCCTGCACATATGCATTGTGTATTCTGTTCTTTCCTCATGCATTTTTATGAGATACTGATGCATGTGTTTAGCAGGATAGAATTGTTAAGAATGAAGAACTTGTACCTTGGATTCTTGGGATTGATCATTGAGTTGTTTTTATGATTGGTTATGATCCTTAGTTATTTGTTTATGTCTTTTATAAGATAATTAGGAAACTGAAGATGAACATTATTCCCTTGTGATAAATCTTTTAATTGGGTAACCACAAATTTCAAAGTCTAAGCCATAGAAATAAGACCCAATGAGTACCAAACTATCATGTAAGTCAGATTAGACTTGACATGTAAATTGGCCAAAATAGAGAGCTATCAACACACTATGCCTGGACTATGATAAAAAATTAATTAGATTTAAATACAACTCAATTTATTCTCTTTGTTCCTTTTATTTGTTGTTGCTCACTCTTGCAAGTCTGTGTTCTGCATAAGATCCAGTGATGCTCATCTGCACTCCATTGTCTCTTTGTATCAGCTTTTGTTTTGCTCCTTTCCCCCCCTCTCTTTCAAGTCTCTGTCCTGTATCTGATGGGACTGCATAAGATACAATGATGAGGTAGGTGGTGGAAGAAAGCAGCCAACTAACAGCATGTTGGAGCTCTTTGTTTTTGAAGTGTTGGGAGGCTGTCAGGAGACTCAACCTTGCTGGACAAACTGACTTTGGAGCATCAGCTGGTTCTCTTCATCTGTTAAGCAACACATACTGTATATTATATTGTTTGATTGGTTGTCAGATGATCTTTTTGATTCTGAACAATTGTTTGATTGCCCCATGACTGGTAAATTCTTGAAGCCTAACATGGCTGTCACTGATAATTGGATCATATATGATTAATACCCTTCTCTAGAGAAATTTATATCAACTCCATATGCTAGAACTCATCTTCAGCCTCCTATGTTGTGGGAGCAACTTGCAAGCTCCCACAACATGAGGGGTGCATTCATCAGGTTGGAGCTATGATGGTTATAATGGATATCAGTAGAATTGGGATCCATCCATCAGGTTGGAGCTATGATGGTTATAATGGATATCAATAGAATTGGGATGCATCCATCATGTTGGAGCTATGATGGTTATATTGGATATCAATAGAATGTTGAAATGTTCTGCATTTCTATTTACAGGCTAAATGAGTGGTTGGGCTCATCTCCTATCTTTATGAAATTTTTTATCTTTTAGTTTCTCTGTTTATATGTTAATCTTCCAACCACAAACTGTATGTCATATCACATCTTTTACTTCCAATAAACATTAAACTAATCACCATATATATATATATATATATAACTTATTCCTCAAACCAAATATATACTACTCTATTTAGTCAAAATTAAGAAAAACTGAACTAAATTTATAAGTACTAAATGAGTTGTGCAAGCATTTTTAGCTAGTTTATTCGTGCTCAGTAAATTAATGAATTAATTATCGTCATGACAAATGATATTAAAGTCAACATAATATTAGACATGATGAGAGATAGTGTACAACTACTATTAGGTGAGGTCTTATGTATCATATTAAAATCTGAATGTGAATTTGTTAGTCTTTTAATAAGAATATCAAATCCTTGAATAGAAGATATTATAAAATTATAATTTAGTCTCATGTCTAAAATAGAATAAAACTTAAATGGACTTGAAAGATCTAAATGTATCAGTTATATTTAACTTGGGTTTAAGTAATTCAAATTCAATAAGTTGATACATCAGTTACCTCATCAAGTCATATTCTAATATCATATTATATATGTATATATATAAGAGGAAAAAAATTTCAATGAATTTTTATATTGTTGAAAACTTTTTATCATGATAAGAGAGCATTCTTAAGAATTAATATACAAATATGAAGGATCAAGAATTAATGTGTAAAAGCTCAAAAATGACCCCGGAAACTAATCACCAAAAATAAAAATGTGCTGTAATATGATATGCATGTGCCAAGTTGTTTCTTAGATTGAAGTTGAGAAGGAAAACAAAAGGCATTTTGTCCTATAGAGACAAACTGGATGAAAGCAAACAAGCCCGGAGAAGGCTCTGCATATGGCTTGTTTTTGGACCACCCAAACTCATTTCTTGAACTTAGGAAACATGACAAAAAGTGTTGGGACTTGATTAGTTCTAATCTAGTATGGTTTCTCTCTCAATGGGAAAGGAAAGGCTCAAGCTTTAAGCTTCTTTTCCCCTCTCTCCATTTTGGGGGGTTGATGGTGACTGCATGAAAACCACACACAAAAGTAGAGTGGGATCAGATCAGAACTCTTCCCCTCCAACTAAACCCAGAAAAGGTGAACAAGCATCATTCACTGATATATTTATTTGCAAAATGCTCACTTTGCACAATTAATTTCCAGATTAGTTGGTAAGCAGATGACATATGTAAAGGTGATTAAAACAACCTTGACATGTTTAGTCTAATTCTAGACCTTACATAAATGAAGATCCAATCTTGATCTATAATTGGCCAATGAAAGTTTGATTGAATATTTTATCAGCCATCTATCACTATCTGCCTGTGGATGAAATATTTAATGAACACTAATCTGCATTAAATTTATTCATGGGACTTTGCACATTAAATGGAACAATGCAATCTTTTTTATTGTTTCAGAGTTAATATTTTCATATCTTGCTGAAGAGTGATGGGAAAATGTTTTATTTTCTGTTCATGCTTGACATCTTTTGCCTTCAGCATTTGATTGCTTGCAAAACTGCACATGAATAGGATAGAATTCACACAAATGAGCTTTGTTTATAGTGCATGTGGGTGAGTCTCTCTCCCCTTATTATTGGTGTGTCACAGTGCATTAACCTGTTCTTTCTGTTGGTTATGTTTATAGTGAGCTTTCCTAGTTTTGGATCAATTTTAATGATACTTTTGGGCACCAATAGGAATATCTTTTAGTTGTTTTGCTGTGACCTCATCCAAATAAATGACACTGAACTGAGCTGGTCTGGCAGCAACAAAACAGTGCACACATATAGGAAAGAAATAGAAAGAAAGAAACACATCAAATCAGAAGCAGAAACACCACCATTTTTCCCACATCTCAAACTCCAAAGACATCATCAGCCTTTCTGATAACACACTGCTGATACATTCCTAAAAGCCTTCAAGTCCTTCACTTCCATGGCATCCAGCACCAAAAACATTCCTTCTTCCAAAGGCTACAGCTGATTCATAACTAGTAGGTGTTTCTGATACATCCTAAAGAGCATCATTCCAACCAAGTGATCTGTATAATCCAAATTATGGTTACAGTGCACAGTCTACAGGAACATCCATATTATGACTTTCTTTGAGGCCAATTGGTTTTTTAGTATCTTTCTTGCAGTAGAATCCTCTGTCCATCTTCAGCCACACACTTTGCAGTGCTTGACTGATGAAGGAAACTCTTTGAAGCATGTTGCTTCTTGGAGAACTCCATGAGACATGAACTGTAATATGACTGACAGAAGAGAGCATAGAACAATAATCTTTAAAAGTATTCTGCAAACATATTAAAACTTGTCATATAGATTTCTTCTTCAAATCATTTTTGTTTTCACAGTTTTATTGATGTTTGCAAACCCACAATGAATCTGATTTCCATCCAAAAAGCTCCAGCAAACCAAAAAGACCAGATTAGATGCAAAGGTATTTGCAGTTCATTATACTTTCTTTCTTTTGGCACTCTGTGA